AATGGATAGGTTTTTGCTTAGACAGAACGTTGAGGTCTTTGGGGAATAATTATATTATATGGGAATTATATATTGTTGATGCGAATAATCCTCTTACGATTTTCGCCAAATACCAGCACTTCGACAGCATACACTTGTTGCCTAACTTTTAATAAGCGATTCAGGATGAGCTTTGTTCAAGATTTCCTATCCAAGTCTTTGGAAAAGATCATCAGTCCCTTCCTCAACGGATTGGTCAGTTCTGAGGGCTGTACGATCTCCTTCGCATTGCTCTTATTTTGTTTTTTTCACAGTCATAACGCCTCTGTTGCCGATTTTCTTCACTGCCTCACAGGTAAGACTGTCAGCAGCTTTATCACTATTGGTTGATATCATGGCAACTTGCAACGAGAAATTAATTCTCGCGTTATGACGACCTTTGGCAACTGCTTTCATTGAACCGAAACGGCTGAACGCCATCATGGCTTATATCCTCGTGTTCAGGGGATACTCTTCTGTTAATTCTGCTGAAGGCTTCACGGACGACGAATCAGACGAGTGCCATCATCAGGGTCTTGGGTCGTTGTGCTTGCACCGTGGAACCGACACTCTCATTATTTGTCGCTGTCGATTAATCTCAGATCCTTTCTTTGTTCGATTGTTCGTTTATATCCCCTACGCAATTCTTATTTTTTATTTTGGGAAAATTGGATTTCGGAAGTTTCAACTTTTTCCTTGTGAACTGATTTTTCGGCATCTTCTCTGGCGCTTTAATCTTGAGAAAACACCGCGTTGAAAATTGGTTTAGTATTTAAAATTTCGTTTTTAGTCGAGGTTCTTCTGCCAGCGCTAAAGCGCAGTTCTTAAATCTTATGTAATTGGTTGGTGACGTATTCTCGCTGTCAAGCGAGAACTTCCTACAACCATCTGATAGTTTAATTTTTAGCCTTTGGATGTTTCCTGTTGTTTATTAAAGATCAGTATAAATTACTGGCAAAACAGACTACTGTAAAACTTGAAAATTTTCACGCATGGCTTCCACCTTTTGGAAATATCTCTGAAGTTAATGGTGGGGCGTTTTTCTCCCTTGCTATTCCATCGGTCTTATTTTAAATACAGGGTTGACAACGGCAATGTGATATGCATACTGTGTAATTTCCTGTTTCCCTTACATTGTTTGCTGCTCATCTGTCAGCATCAAAAAGAAGAACGACGACCGACCCAGCTGGCGCTCCAGCCCACAGAGTCTCGGTTCTGAATCGGACACTTTCCGAACTGAGCTTCCCCCAAGTTTAACAAAAATATCTATTGTTACTCGAAAGCATGTTATATTTATCAGTGAAAGATGAATTTTCATTATTATTACGCACTTGTACATGGCATGCATTCATCTGCAGTCATTTAATTACCCAAAAAGTCCAGTCAGATATTAGCTTCACATTGTCCACATGATGGTCACCTTTGTCGCGATTGTCCATGTAGTCGTAGCGTTTTGCAGTATCTCTGTCACTAATTCTTATTCGGTACTTTTGTACTCACGCTATGTATAGTAAATATCCTGCCCGCTGACTGTGACGAAAATGAAATTTCGGATAATGAACCGAATCTACCGTGTTTCCGCATGTTCTGTGCCATGGGGCAAAATTAACGAGCTTAACCAATGTTTAACATTGCAAATCTTGCGACATGCCCGTACTAGTGGTTCGATTTGAATTTTCATTGGTCAAGTTTTGTGTTAAGCAGCTATTTTACAGTTTGATTGACATTTGTTACACATTGTCTTAATTGTTTTATTTGCATGATATTGTTGGTTCATGATTCCTTAGTTTATTTTTTTTGTTCTTCAGGTCGCCGTGTCTGCTGAATGCATTATCCGATTACGACTGCAACACCGGCGATCGAAGCTCGGTGTCGTACGGCAGCTTTGGCGAACAGTCATTCAAAGGTGAACTTCTCAACTGCTCACAGTTGTCTCTGTGCGACGCGTCCACGTCAGCCGCGACCAGGGCTAACGTGTCTCCGAAGGGGACAATGACCTGCTTGTTCTATGACAGGAGCGAAGCGGTCGATTTCGACTGTAACTCGTTGCACGATAGACAGTCATCCAAAAGTGACACCGGTTCCAGCTGCAGTCCAGCTGCTGTGGACAATGCCTCGTCGCCTCTCGTTTATCCGGTGATCGAACAGCTACTGAATCTGCACGTTAGTCCTTCGAATGACCGCTCGGCAGTCGCAAGACCGACAACCGAGCATCACTGCAGCGATCGGATGGTCAGCGGCTTCGATGGCAATATTATTAGCCGAAACGGTAACGACTCAAGAGCGCCAGGCCATGGCTCGACCCGGAACAGAATCGGTGATTTCGGTGGTGGCATTTTCCTCACAGATCCGTTCAATTCAGCACCTTCTGCTCACTTGTTCTCAGGAAACAGCGGCGCCTCGTCCGATTTAGTGAGCCCTGACCAGCACCACCAATACTGTACGAAGTCTACCAGGGATTCAGGCACTGATCGAAGTCTGTGCTGCTGGATTAATTCGACTGACAACAATTCTGGCTGCGCCAACGATCGTTTCGTTTCTCTAAAGTACGCGAACTCGCTTTCCGGCATGCAGGATCATCAGCAGCAGTGCTGGAGCACCGAGACGATGTCTCAGGCAGGCACTCTCGATTTTACGGCTTACTCGTCGTCCCTCGCCTCCTCCGGCTCTTCTCCGCCGTCCTCGTACTCGAACATGGCTCGCGTGCCACTGCAGCCGCAGCCGTCGCATCAACCTCACGTGTCTTACTTCGCGCCTCCAGTAGACTCGGCGGCAACTTTCGTCGACTGCAGTTCTCCGTGGTCATCGTCATACATTCCGACCACCTCGCCGGACTTCGAGCTGACCGACGGCCGCGGTGACGGGTTTCAGCGACGACCTCTCTTGTCACCCTCGTATGGACCTTGCGGTGCACACACGTTTTACAACTACTTGTCCCCGGCTGCTACGGCACCGTTGCCAATGAATCACGGCAGTCACGGCTGTTATTATATGAATCAACCGCCGTTGCCCGCCACCGCGTACCCGGTGTTCGTTCCGCAGATGAGGCCATCGCAAGCGGCGTCTAACCTCATCGCGAAGGAAATTTTGAGGGACGCCCTGTTGCACGGCGCCTCTCCGATACCTCCGATGGCAGCCGCACCGACGTTCGCGTCGTTCCCGTTAGAATTTCCATCGCAAATGAATCTATTACACGGGTTCCCTGCTGCGTACATGATCGCTCCCCGTTTTCTTCGGTAATATTTTGCGTTTTGTACTCTTTGTTTTAATAGTGAAATTCTTAATGAAGCTGCTAGAATATATTGATATAATTTATTATAATGGCGTCTCCCACATCTTTTCACGACGTAGCTTCGTTGGAATAATCACTTACTTTTCGGTGGATGTGTCATCCCCTAAATCTCTCTGAATCTTTTCCCAAATTCCATTACTTTTTGTCTGAGTTGAGTGAATGACAAAAATGCTAAGCATTTGCTTTGGTAAACTGTATAAAAAAGGCATTCCGGCAAATAACATCGAAACACCGACCAGCTCCAGATCAGTAGCTTCATGAAAGTAGATTAACTTCGTATCGTTCATCTTAGAATTATGAGGGTGGTCACATCCCTACTGTTTTAACGATATTTTATTAGCAGATGCCAGTAGTGCCTGACTACAATTTAGGAACAAAAACCCACTACAGCTGATTAGCATAGCATGATGATATTTCAGCTGAACTATTCTCATTTGCAGCTGACAGCTGCAGCAGATGTTCAGGTTTATTTCTGTTACTGTGTCTAGTTTAAGACCGGTTATTCGAAAAATTTTCGCAACCTTTATAAGTGTTGTGGTATAGATGTATAAACGCTTTTATATGTGCAATTAATTTAATTTTTTAAAATCGGCCTCGAAGCTATGAAAACTACTGTTTATTACCAGTCTTGCAGTGCGCAGTAACGTAGACAGATCTCTCTCTTTTGTGAGCCATTAACGTTGTTTCTACGAAGGGAAGGAAGGAACGAAAGTTTGTGAATGTTCTTGCCTTGTGATGAAACCACTTCCGACACCCTTCTTTTCGTGAAGTTAATGGTGCGGCGCTTATCTGTCTATCTGTTTTTTGCAGTTTGTATCTGTCTTAATCAAGCGAACTTTTTTAGTTCATTAGTTATCAGCCCGGAGGTCTTCCTACGGGCCGTTTGCTCCCTCTTTGGACTCACTCTAACATCTCTTTTGTCATACGATGATCGGTTCTTCTTGCAGCCTGCCCTGCTCTTTGCTACTTCGATTTCTTTACTTGGCTAATCGCATCGCATATATGTACATTGCATTAATAAGCTTAGAGTAATATTTCTTCCGTTACATGATTGTTTTTGAGTGTCTATGGTTGTAGAAGCACAAGTTGTTGGCATGTGCCTTATCGTCATCATTCACATTAACATGACATTCAACACGTTTTAAAAGGTTGTCTGTTGGAACACTCTACACAGGATAGCCAGCTTTTTTCATGGACAGCGTTACATTCTTTCATAGAGCAACTCAGTACCATCTCTTATAGTGCTATTATGTGGCGTGGTGGCACAGTGCTTTAGAGGTCTGCTTCGAACCCCACCGATGCAGGGTTCGGTTCCGTTCGAGAACAGTTTTTGCCGTATACACGAATTCCCTTGAACAAAGAATTTGCCGCAAGCTACTTCAGGGTGGGGTTGCTAACTCGATAGGGCGTTTAACTCAGAACCGATGCCCCTGGTTCAAGCCCCATACGGGGTCATTCGCCCATCATCCTTCCGAGGTTGAAAAATCAGTACCACTATGTGGGAATAAAACAGGAGGCTATGCGCTACGGCTGCCATTTGGCTATGGACTCTTAGAGAAACAGAGTACTCCTGGCTGATGGCACTGAAAAACTAATAAGTATCGCGCTAAAAGAAGGTCGTCAAAATGGCCCAGTCATGAAAGTGAAAGAAGACTGGCATTCTAACTTTCCTTTCCTCGTGGTTGATGTTATGCGGTTAGTTATGGGGTAAAGTGTACTACGTCAGTGTTTGTTTTCTTCGCTGAGATCAATGTCATAAAAATGACAATAAATGCGTATGCGGTCCATAATATATAACAACCTCCGGCGATGTGTCAGTCACAGTGCGCTAGCCATATATTAAGCACAGTATGGTTAAAAGCTAGTTACGAAGCGAAGGCCACTATTGTGCTGCGACGATTACATCGTCCAATTTACAGATGTAGCCATTATTGACGTAAATACTCTGCAAAAATATATAATCATGTACATATGTATATTTCTAAACAGCACTACTGTGCACTCCTCCACGTCATGGGGATCATCGGTAGAACCGGAAAGATCGATGCCCAAAACCTTTTCAAGGGGCTCTTCTTTCGTTTCTCTTTGATCTTCTCCGCTTTTAATTACTGATGTAGCTGAAAGAAGATTAACTGGTTAGTTGGCTGTGGCATGGTCACAGATATCTTCTCTCCGTAGTACGTGTATGAACGCCGTGTCTTGTCAGCGACATTATTGAGCCCCTCAGAGGCACCCTTTTCTTCCCATACGGCGATTGAAACTAGTGGAAAGAAGTATCAGATTAGCTACTACGCCTGTCATAGTTTTTCGCACAACACTGATGATTTATGATTTTATGATAATATTTTGTACTAGAGTTTATTTCTTGCCCTTCAGTTTCAGAGGACCGTTACAGATTATTGTAAACGCCTGCTTCTAATGGACAGTACTTCATTAATGTGAGGAACTTAAGGCGTGCAGTATACTAAGATTAGAAAGTTTTTTTCCGTCTATGCACCGCTGCTTTTCAATATCATTCTGTTCAATCTTGAATATTTTGTCTGTAGTATGCATTTTTCTTCTATATTTGTGTTTTATAGGAAGAGCGGACCGGCGTTCGAGTTGCACATTCGTCTTGGAGAATGCCTCGAACAATACAGATTGTTGGAAAGGGATCGGAAAAAGGTACTGATTTAATGAAGCTTATCTTCTACCTATTTTTTCTTTACCACTTTTCTCAGGAACAGTGATTGTGGAACTTTGTTATGGTAGATTTCCGCTACCTTTTTCGTCCAGCCCAGAATCAGAATTTGAGCTGTTAGAGATGTAGACTATCAGCTTTCATAATCATTAGATATGCGATTTTCATATACTGTCAGCGATCCCATCTAGCAGTCGCTCGCAATATTTATATATTTATTTTACCCTGTTTTAAAACTTTAGTAAAAGGTATGAGAACATGGAAAATGGTGGTATTTCTGTACTCCAAGTAGTACAAACGTGTGTTCCACTCGAGGTGAGTCGTAAAATATTCCTTTCGTACTAATTCCCCTAACAGGCGCTCTGTTTATTTGTCATGCCTTCTGCTTTTGTTACATCTAGTCTTAATGGTTTTAGACCGAGGCGGATCTGGCTCGTCACAATCTGGGCAAAAAAATCAGCAGCAGCAATAACATCCCGATACCTCGACTGCTTCCGAACCCTTCGAGGGTCGACCGACTAGTCGTCGATTACTTCCGAGAGCACGCAAGGGTAGGTTTCAGCGCCTGAATCCGGTGGTGATATCCAGCATGTGTGATAATGTTTTCTCAGGTGCAAACGCTAATCGAAAAGATGGAATGGCTTCGCTCTGAATCGCTCTCTGAAAAAGTACACTCGGCGATGAAGACTTGGTTCCATTCCTTGAAGGCGGTTCAGTCGTCGCGAATTCAGGAAAGGTCGAATT